ATATTATGCACCACACCTGACTTTGAGAATCCTTTGATTCTTGGAGCCTGGCTAAAACAAAGCCAGTTTTGATGAATGGCTTTTCTACAAAAGAGCCCCACCACCCCATAACCTTTCTAAGTCTTCACTGTCCACTCAATTAGGAAAACCCGGGGGGGAAAAAAAAATTAGGTAAGCGATTGAACTCAAAAAAAAAAAAAAAAGGAAAACCCTGGAATACTACAGGGCCAAATGAAGTTCCCTCAGCATCCAAAGCTGCAAAATCTCGGGGATCTGCTAATATGGATGTGCAGACAGCAAAACGTACAGGTAAAAACCCTTTGCAAAATCTAAACTCACCAATACTCACTTCATTTCAGCAATAATAAGAAACGAAGCATTGAAATATGCCACAACATGGGTGAACCTTGAAAACACTGTGCTAAGTGAAAGCCAGTCACAAAATACGGCATGTTGTGGAATTCCATTTATATGAAATATCCAGAATAAGTAAATGCATATAGACAGAAAGTACATTAGTGACTGACTAGGGCTTGAAGGGGTGGGGGTTGGGGGGTGAAGCTAATGGGTATAGGTTTCCTTTTAAGGAGGATGAAAACATTCCAAACTCAAATTGTAATGATTGTGCAACCTATGAATATAATAAAAATCGTGAACTATTCACTTTAAATGGGTAACTTGTATGGTATGAATTATATCTCAATGAAGCTAATTTTTAAATATGATTATTGGATCCTTTATTCTTTTTTTTTTTCTTCTAATGTTTATTTTTGAGAGAGAAAGAGAGAGCACAAGCAGGAGAGGTGCAGAGAGAGGGGGAGACACAGAACCCGAGGCAGGCTGCAGGCTCCCAGCTGTCAGCAACAGAGCCCGACACCGGGCGAACTCACAAAACGTGAGATCATGACCTAAACTGATGTTGGCCGCCTAACCGACTGTTCCACCCAGGCACCCCAGTGAATCGTTTTTTCTTTGCTACTTGGAGCAACATCTTCTCCATTAAAAACTAAACAAAGAGCTCAGAGTGCGGTCGTGGGTTTAAAGTTATGAAGTTTCTTGGCTTTAGAAGTGTACTTACCTTGCCTTTCTATCTATCACCTCCACTTTATTTCAATATCAATCATTTTAGATGAATTGCAATGATGGAAACTGCTTAAATACACACAAAATTTATCTATGCCCAAACCAAAGCCTAAGGTGACATTCTTTAATGCTCCACAGCAATGACTGTTCTCTCCTTTATTTAGTACAAACTGACCACTTTTGTTAGCAATTTTCTGATTACTTGTGACAGTGACCTTCTGACAACTAAAGCTCCATTTTCACATTTCTTTCTTCTCCTAAGAGATACAAGAATTGCATAACAATGACAGGCAATACTGGCAAAACCCTGTGCTAGGGACCTAGTGAAATCAGCGAGTGGGAATGGTACTGGAGAGAAGGGAAAAGAGATTACCTAAACTCTGGATACATGAAGAAGATAAAATAGAGTTCGGGCCAAGTAATGGATGGTCATAAAACGCTAACTAGATTAAGGAATATGTGATCTTAAATATTTTAACGGTTTGCAAAGCATACCTGCTTTCAAGTTTTTAGAAGCTTTCAGGGTTTTTTTCTTTTCTTGCTAAGATATAGTGACATACAACATCATGATTCGACAGTTGTATATATTGTAAAATGATCACCACAGTTAAGTCTAGGTAACATCCATCACCATTCATAGTTACAGAACTTTTTTCTTGTGGTGAGAACTTTTTTTTTTTGTTTTTTACGTAAGCTCTATGCCCAACGTGGGGCTTGAACTCAATGACCCCAAGATCAAGAGTCGCATACTCTGCCAACTGACCCAGCCAGGCACGCCTTAGTATGAGAACTTGCAAGATTTAATCTCTTGCCAACTTTCAGATTTCCTGTAAAATAGTATTAACTATAGTTGTCATGTATACATTACATCCCCATGACTTATTTATTTTTCCAAGCTTTTGTTTTTAAGTTTAGAAAAGCTATGTGATTGATGCACCAGTTACTGTGGGAAAAGACCCAAAAAAAAAAAAAAAAAAATCCCCTTCAGATTCTAAAATGTGAGAAATTAAAAATACTTACATGCAGAAACTTAAGAATAACAAGAATAAAAATATATTATCAACTCAATATACATTACTACACAATACTTAAAATATTTAATTGGTTATGGAGAGGAAGATGTTAAATGTTAGTACCAGAAAGCAGATAATGCCTCCCTAATACAGCCTGCTACCCCTGCTTAATTCAAAGAAGGCAGCACAGGATTAAGATACCCTTTATATAGGGGAAAACGTATTGGTACTATTTATACAAAAAAATTAATTCTAAAATCCTAACTTCGGTTGAATAAATTATCTACCTAATTTTAATCTCCGTTTAACCCTAATTTTCTCAAATGTCATCTCAGCTAGTTTCTTTGTCTATTTCTTTGTCAAATTATTTCAGTTCATCCCTCCGCCTGATACAAATAACCTCTTTAAGAGGAGCTACTCTTAATTTTGTTTTTCAAAGATGCCCTGAATTTGGAGAGGTAAAGGAAATATTTTAAGATCCAGGCCACCGCGTATATGTAATGCTACCAATAACAATGCTACAAATGATCAGTTCTTCTGCTTAAGTACTTGAAAAAGAGATTTTTCTAGCAATCCAAGATAGACTGAACTCAAGAATCACAGTGTCGGGGCACCTGGGTGGCTTAGTCGGTTAAGCGTCCGACTTTCGCTTAGGTCATGATCTCGCGGTTCGTGGGTTCGAGCCCCGCGTCGGGCTCTGTGCTGACTGCCAGCTCAGAGCCTGGAGCCTGTTTCAGAGTCTGTGTCTCCCTCTCTCTCTGACCCTCCCTTGCTCACGCTGTCTCTCTCTCTCTCTCCTAGAAATAAATATATTAAAAAAAAAAAAAAGAATCACAGTGTCACTTTATGATCCTTTCGGTTATATCCCAGTGTTCTGGTTCAAATTTCACTTCTAAATCTTTTAAACATTAACTTCAATTTATCAAATATCCTTACTCTGGAACCAAATTTTTTCAATACTTTTACTATAAACTCATATATTGATGACTTTGCCCATTAGAATTATTAATCACCATGGTCAATTTTATTTTTTTTTAATTTATTTATTTCTAGGAGAGAGAGAGAGAGAGACAGCGTGAGCAGGGGAGGGTCAGAGAGAGAGGGAGTCACAGACTGAAACAGGCTCCAGGCTCCGAGCTGGCAGTCAGCACAGAGCCTGACGCGGGGCTCGAACCCACGAACCGCGAGATCATGACCCAAGCGAAAGTCGGACGCTTAACCGACTAAGCCACTCAGGCACCCCAACACCATGGTCAATTTTAAATAGTTAAGAAGTTATTACCATTACTCTTTGCTTGTTACAAATTGCAAAACTTCATCTTGAGATATAATTTCCTAATGCACTGGAATCTTGTGTAACTATTTCAAAAGCTCATAAGCAAGTTTTCCAAACATGGCAGCTGAGAAATTGGCCAAGTCAATGGCAAAATCATCAACTTTATTTTATAATCAACCTGAGCAGTTCACTTGTTTTTAAAGGAATATCAAAAAAATACTAAGGAATTTTTAAAAATAAGTACTATAATGTGAATAGCGGCTTCACAACATGGACAGAACTCATACATATCCATTCCTACTTGAGATGTGTTGTTTATGTGGCTGTCCCAAAAGGTTAATTTCTTACCTCTTATGTTCAAATGTTCTTGAATGAATAAAGTAAAGAATACGTTGTTACATTATCTGTGTACCTTATTTGAGCTTAGTGTGAAGGCCCCTAACTATCCCAAACTTCAAAAAAAATGCTTGGTCGAGGGAACACTCAATCATAAACCAGCAGAATAAATCATCACAGAGAGCAATCATAGCACGCTACTTGGTTAAAAAAAGAAAAAAGCAGAGGCGCCACTGAGTGGGCTGAGGGTCACATTCTTGATGTGGGCTCAGATCTTGATCCCAGAGTCGTGGCTCAGACGTAGGATCAGAGTCGGAGTCTGGCTCAGCGTTGGGTGTGGGGCCTGCTTAAGATTCTCTCCTTCCCCCTACCCCTTCACCGCTCGTCCTTTTTCTAAAATAAATAAAATTTTTAAAAAAATTTTAACCCAAAGAAATGAAAAATACAGAAAAGAAACAAAAAATATAGGAAAAAAAAGCAAGTGCACAACTTCCCCGCAGGTTCTTTTCCCTACTGCTCCAATCCGACCTTTCGCTTCCATTTTTAAAATCCTCCAACTGAATGCAACTAGCTAGATCCATGTGCTTAGCTCACTCTTCGTGGGAATATTGTTTCCTACAAACGTTCTTCTGCGAAAAGTATTTCTGATTGCTACAGAGCAAGTTACCGTTTTTGCAGAAGCAATAGTTATGTTACACATTAGGACTCCAGAAAAGTTTAAGGCGAATTTATTTTTTAATTGTAAATGATATGAAATAGGCCGAATCCAAGTAACCAAAGAGAGGTAAGTTTCCAAAAAGCAGAAAGACTCCTGAAATTCTATGTCCTCTTCGTTCACCCTCCCCCCCCCTCCGTCCAAAAAGAGTCAACAGAATGCTTTCATCTTCAGCACGGGCCCATTATTCCGGTCTGGCGAAAAGCTTTACTTTAAAAACACTCATAAGGGGCGAACAAAGGTGCGCAGAGAGTGACTGGGGAGGCAGCAAGGTGACTGACTCCCGGCCATGCACCAGGAATGGCTTAAAAAGGAAGTTCGGGCCAGATTCCTCCCGCACCGACCGAGCAGCACTTCAGATTCGCTGAGCTGGGCCAACAACGTATTAAGTATTTAAAACGTATATAAGTCCAGGCAAGCCAGTAGCTGGCAAAGGGGACAGGCGGGTGCGAGGGATGCAGGGGCCTCACGAAGGACAGTGGACAGGGGACCTGGAAGGAGGAAGGCCAGGCCCCGGCCCGGAGCAGCGCGAGCCGCCGCAGGAGCGAGGGGGCCCGCGGCGCCGGACGGCACTCACCTGCCCATTCTCCGAGCCCGGGTCCGACCCCCACCTCGTGACTCAAGCCCCAGACCCGGAGGGCCGTGAAGAGCCAGCACGAGATGCGCAGGGCCAGGTAGGCCACGGTGCCTGCGCCCACCCAGTACAGGAAGCCGGCGGCAGGAAGACAGCTCTCCATGGCTTTCAACTAGGCCTTACTACCTTCGTGAATGAAAAAAACGAATGAATGAATCCAGGAAGTGGCGCCGGCCCGTGACGGTGAAGACGACACCACCGGGCGCTGCTCTTACGCCCCTTTTGGCCGAAACCCAGCCCACGGCGCCATATCCGTGCCTCCATTGGTGATCTAGCGTTTCCCTCTGTGGGTAGTGCGTCAGCCATTGGCTGGCTCCAGTTTCGCTACCCCGCCCATTTCCCCCCTCCTCCCCCCGGCGGGCACCGGCCGTGTTTCCGTTCTAAGACGGCTGATCACTCGCCTGCCAATCAAGCTTCAGCCCCGCCCAGGGCGTCACCACGCCCCCCGGATTCCGCCAGAGGGCGGCGTGTCTCACCCCACCAAGTCGCCCAGGTCTCTCATTGGCTGCAGCCTTCCTCACGGCTACGGAAGACTGCGCTCCGATTGGCCAGTGAGACAGCCTCGCTTGAGCTCGGGATTTAGGAGGGAATGGGGTCTGAGAAGCCGCTAGTGAATGGGAAGGTGATTGTAAGTGGGCGTGGGGTCATGGTTTTATTTTCACCGCTTTATTAAACACTTATTTTTCATTGTTAAATGTGCCGTCATTGTTGCCATAAACTTTTCCGGATAAAGGCTTCCATCTCCAGTTTCTATGCCTTCCTCCCAGCGTATCTTCCCTCCGGTTACAGGCACTTCCTGCAGACCTTCTAAATGCTTGCTCCCTTTCGCCCTGAGCATTAAACAGCACAGTTCCCAAGATCTTGGAGTTCAAAGCAAATAACTACATAGACTCAGATAACTATAATACACGGTGGCATATGAGCTGTAAGATGAAAAGTGGAGGAACACGGCTTGATGAATAAGTCGTTTGGGGAAGGGACTCTATGTTTATAACTGGGCCTTAAGACACAATAGAGATTTTTCTTTTATTCTCTCTTTTTTTTTTTATTTACGTTTTCTGTGGGGAGAGATGGGGTGAATGGACACTAAAGCGTGTGGTCCTAGTAGAGATAAGAAAAAAAATAAAAGGGGCGCCTGGGTGGCTTAGTCGGTTGGGACTTTCGCTTAGGTCATGATCTCGCGGTTCGTGGGTTCGAGCCCCGCGTCGGGCTCTGTGCTGACTGCCGGCTCGGAGCCTGGAGCCTGTTTCAGAGTCTGTGTCTCCCTCTCTCTCTGACCCTCCCCTGCTCACGCTGTCTCTCTCTCTCTCCTAGAAATAAATAAAAATTAAAAAAAAAGAAAGAAAACCTCAGCAAAGTTAAGTATAAGAAATCGTGTAATGCAATAAAGCGCTTCAGGCTTAATCTCTCATCCTCCCACAAAGAGTTGTTTCTTTTTCTGGCATGGGTTTGAGTTCACGTAAGACACCTGAAATTTTTCCTAGCCAGTAGACACTGCTGATTCAAGACTTGGGTTTTTGTTTTTTTTTTTTAAGGCAGGAATTTAGGGTAATAATGCTAAGGGTCAACAGTCAACTTGAAGCTAAAGTCATAATTTTCTAATATTTAGTTTAAGAGCCGTCTCTCTCCCTGCCTAACCGCACCCTCCCACACTCTTTCTACTCTTATAAAATTAAGTATAACCCTAAGGCTGTTATCTGTTTTTTATAAACTGTCACCTGAATTCAGCCAAGTGATTTGAGCAGACACATTTTATATTAATTGAATTTGATACCTTTGGCTGAGGCTGCCTGTCCAATTCAGTGAAATCCCCCCATTCCTCCCCGTCAACGTCTCCCTCTTGCCAAAGTCTTCATGTGCCATATAGCCGCAAATGTGTATATCCCGTTTCATCATGGCTCAACCCGCCGAGGGCCTTCCAGATATTCATGCTCCTTAGAATAGGGCAGAAGTGGGGGCGCCTGGGTGGACCAGTGGACTAAGCATCTGCCTCTTGGTTTCAACTCAGGTCATGATCTCACCGTCTGTGAAGAGGAGCCCTGAGTCAAGCCTCACCTCAAGCTCAAAGCTGGATTCGCTCTCTCTCTCTCTCTCTCTCTCTCTCTCAAAATAAATAAATAAACTTAAAAATTTTATGAAAAAATAGAATATGGCAGAAGGAGGGAAAGAGAGGTATAAACTAACTATACAAGGGCACCTGCCTGGCTCAGTAGGAAGAGCTTGATCTCAGGGTTGTAAATTTGAGCCCCACGTTAATTATAGAGGTTATTTAAAAATCTTTAAAAAAATAAATAAACTAATAATGTGTATTTTTGATGCATTTTTCTGTCTGTCTGTGGCCCCCCACTAGAATTTAGAATTATTGGGAACACTATGTTGTGAATCCATAGAACGTAGAACAGTGCCTGGATCCTAGAGATGCTCTAGACTGTGTCAAATAAATGGAAGCAAAGATTCATTCATTCAACAAATATGTCATCCTTATGTACCAGAAACTGAGCGAGGTACTGGATATACAATAGTGAGCAAATGATCAATTCCTAGTCCTCATCCGGCTCTACATTCAACAATGGGTAACCACTGCCATCCTCACCAGCTGATCATTCCCAGAGTCTTTAAGTTGACCTTCCTAATCCTAGCCTCTATATGATGCAGTGCCCTTGGGCTCAGACCCCAGTTCTCTATACTTCTCTCCACAGTCTCCCTACATGATTTTATCCCACCCCTTGGTTTTAAATATCAACCGTAAGTTGATGAATTCCAAATTGTCTGGCCAGGCTCAATTTCTGCTCAGAGGTGTATATAAATATGTAATCTCTATCAGCTTACTCAACGTCTCCATTCAGGGGGCGCCTGGGTGGCTCAGTCAAGTTAAGCGTCCAACTTCGGCTCAGGTCATGATCTCAAGGTTCGTGGGTTCGAGCCCCACATAGGGTTCTGTGCTGACAGTTCAGAGCTTGGAGCCTGTTAAGGATTCTGTGTCTCCCTCTCTCTCTGTCCCTCCCCGACTCGTGCTCTGTCTCTCTGTCTCAAAATAAATAAAACAACAAGAAAAAAATTTTTTTAATCTCCATTCAGATGTAAAAGTAAAAAAGAAAAAATATCTCAGGGGCTCCTGGGTGGCTCAGTCAGTTGAGCATCCGACTTCAGCTCAGGTCATGATGTCACTGTTTGTGAGTTCGAGCCCCGCATCGGGCTCTGTGCTGACAGCTAAGAGCCTGGAGTCTGCTTCAGATTCTGTGTATCCCTCTCTCTCCACCCCTCCTCTGCCCACGCTCTGTCTCTATCTCTATCAAAAATAAATAAATATTGAAAAAAATTAATAAAAACCTTGCAGGAAACATGTTCAAAACAGAATCCATCCCCATTACACACACACACACACACACACACACACACACACACCCCTCTTCTTTTCTTCCAATCTGTTAAAGGTACCACTATTTACTGGCTTTCTCGGGTTTAAAACCCTTAGGCTTTTAACCTAGATTTTTCTTTCCATTTAATTCCCATCTTCAATTCTTCAACGAGTCTTATTCACACTACCTCCAAAATATATCTTGACTGATCAGTACTCCCCACTTCTGTCTCTACCAACCCTAGTCCAAACTACAAGCATTTCTTGCCTGGAACATGGCAACAGCCTCCTAACTGGTCTCCCTGAACCTCTCTTGGAGTTTGTTCTCCATGAAGCAACTTGAGTGGGTTTTTTTTCCCAAGTAAATTAGATATCATTTCTTCTGCTCAAATCCCTTCAAGGACTTTATAAATCAGATTAAGAACAAAGTCCTCCAAGACCAGTTTATCTTCCCTCACCTCTCCAGCAGCATCAACCATGCTCTCCTGGGCTCACTTGATTCCAGCCACATGTCTTGCAGTTCCTCAAATAAGTCAACTTCATTCCAGTCTCAGAGCAATTCTATTTCCTGTTTCCCTTCCAGACCCTCTTACCCTCTATCTCCCAAAGCTCACTTGTTTATATTATTTGGACTTCTGTTCACACGATCTCCCACTGAAAGTGGTTTTCTCTGATGGACCATATGAATAGACCAAATAGCCTCCCCTTCCTTGCCCCACTCCTACTTATCCTTTTACCCTAATTTACTGTCCTGATAACCCTTAATGCTTTCAAAGTGTTTGATTACTTGGGTTTTGTCCATCTTCCCAATAGATTGTAAGATCATGAGGACAGTAACCTTTTCTCGTTCACCACTGTATCTTCACCTAAAATGTGTATCTAAGAGTAATTGATACTTGGGAGGTATGTAATAAATACCCACTGAGTGAATGAATAACAAGTAAATGAATATAGCTAGAGAGGCAGACATTAAGCACATTTCCAACTAATTATATGATAAAAATTGTAATGAGTACAAAGAATGAAAGAATAGGGCTTAAGGAAAGAGGATGAAGGGAGGACTGATTTTCATGGGAAGAGAGGACTGCCCAGAAAGGCCTAAGGAAGTGACATTTGAGCTGAGAGCTAAAGCTAAGTGGAAATTAGCTTGGTAGGGGAGGGCAGCGTAGAGGAAAGGAGAGAGCAGCAAATACCCACTGAGGGTTTGGTTGTGATTTTTAAGAACACACGCATGTGCCTCTAGCACCCGCTACAGCGACTGACATAAAAATAAACAGGCAATAAAAAATAACTCTTGGTTTTGGATTTTTTTAATAAACAAGGACAGGTATCACAGAAATTGACTTTTGGGGCACCTGGGTTGCTCAATAGGTTGGGCATCCAACTTCAGCTCGGGTCATGATCTCATAGTTCATGGGTTCGAGTCCCGCATCGCGCTCTGTGCTGACAGCTCAGAGCCTGGAGCCTGCTTCGGATTCTATGTCTCTCTCACTTTCTGCGCCCCGGACCCCCCTGTTCGCACTCTGTCTCTCAAAAATAAATTTAAAAAAGAAAAGAAAAGAAAAGAAATTGACTTTCTACTGTTGTTAGGATTCATATTGAGTATGGTATTTTTACTGAAGGAATGTTGAAGATTGAAACCACCTCATTTTGGTAGCCATTTTTTTCCTGTAAGGTCTAAGCAATTAACAGGAATAATCTTTATTAAAAATGCACACATTTATTCGGATCACCTCAGCCTTTTATGAATATTAACTATTCTACTGACTAGAAGAGAAGAACAGTAGCATCACAAAGTGAAATGATCTATGCCAGAATAAGCCTTTTGGGGTCCAG